AAACATCTCCCCAACGCAAAAATATATCTTGAAAATAATTTGAACATCTTTAAATTTCAAATCTTCCAGTAGTCATAATAAATCACCTTCCAAATAAATTACTGTAGTAAAAACTTGATATATTAAAAATTAAATAAGTTTTCCCTCCAGAAAATGGGTTGCCGCAGTAAAAACTTGGAAAGTAAAAATGGAAATAAATAAATTACCCCTCCAAAATATGAATTGCTGCAGTAAAAACTTCAGGAGTAATTAAAAAAAATATTATCCCCCCAAACTAAATTTCCGCAGTAAAATTGTAATTTAATTATATATATTGGGAACGACTTGACTAGGGGACGACATGACTAGGGGATGACTTGACCAACATTCCCCTGAGAACTGTGGGGTCTGACGTCCGCTCCTCTCCCATGGGGGAGATGAATAATTTATCTAAACAAGTTGTTGGTGATGTCCTCTTTCATATCAGAAAGAAAAGAGAACAGGGATTTTGGTGTTTGAGGGAAATTTTGGGGTAAAACGGCAGCGTACATAGGTAACTGCCCCGGAGAGAGCTGTACACAACAAATAAGGGAATGTAGTCTGGTTCCTTGACCTAGATGGAGATTTGTCTTAATGAATCCAAAAAGCCTGAGTCGGGTAACCAGACAAAAACAAAATGGCATCATTCGACTGAGTGGTTGTCTTTTGCCATACTTGGTTTAGAAATCTGAAGTTTTCTTGCTTTTTTAAATATTATCAAAATTTAGTTCCTTAAGGTCAAAATGTCAGTTGGTTTGAGAAAGTGGGATTTGTTTCCTTATTATAGGAACAGGGTGCTAATGGTAAAGAACCCCCTCCCGTGAACATTCGTGGGAGAGGAACGGATGTCGGACTCTACAGTTCTGGGCGTAGCAAAGAGGCTATATCGTAACCACACGTGCCAAGCCGATAGGCCCAAGTCCATTTAAAATTTAACTGCTTGTGTTGATATTAATTAGACCCTGCTTGATAGTACTCATGCCGATCATTGCCGATGCATGCATGTGAAGGTAAAATTCAGACTGACATATTTCACACAAATACAGATTAATACTGATCAATTTAGAAAGGAATTGCTGTGAAAGATGAGGCCTACTTTGTTAAGCTATGGAGTTATATGAGGCTTGGGCCTACATTATTAACTTTAGATTATTATACTCTGTTGCGGAGAACGTACGGCAGAAGAAAAACAAAAGAGGGGAACAAGGACTCTAAAATAAGGGCAAAGGATGGCAAAGGAACTAATTTCAAATGACATTTAATCATAAACTTAAACCAGTAAAACAATACCTTAAAGCAAAGTGAATCTAGTGGTTTTCTGCAACTTAAACTTCTCATGGAAAACACCGTAAATTTGGACAAGCAAAAGCATAAAAGCAAATATATTTACATTAGCACAGCTAAGCACAGTTATACAATGAAAATTAGCCAGCCGGCAAAAACATGTTAACGGACAAAGAGGCAAATTATATTCGACCAAGCATAATCAGCTTAACAAGCCCAAAACAAGGACAAAATAAGGCCCTGCCCAGTCAGTGCCATGGCTAAAAGAGCTCTGTCGGCGGGCCAAGCACCTCCACACCCCACACCAGAACAGCCCAGCTCTCTACAGTATATAGCTCCCTTATACTCTGTTATTATACTCAGTCTCTGTATATTAACTTTATTTTTCCATTTAGGGTGTAGCCATGGAAGAAAAAAAAACAATACAAAGGCCCTAAAAAGCGAAACGGAACAAAACAATATAACAAATAATACAACGGAACAGGACAGAAAAAAATTGAAACAAGAACAAAACAGGGAAAAAAAAGAGTAGTAGAAAAGATGAACTGCTGTACATGTGTAACTTCCTGACAGTCATGATTATCTTGGAGATATGCGTGTCCAAATCATCTTTAACTTAAGCAATTAAAAACATGCCAAAATATTGTCAATAATTTCCATGCACCTTAGGCCTAGTTATTTCTTCAAACAAAACGCCTGTGGTATGCTAAGTTTAAGTGGCACTTGTATGAAATTCTTGACCAGTTAAGCTTCAACTTTTTGAATATTTGATTTAGTGTATTTGCAAAGGAGCAGCAGTACAGTTGAATCAAACATATATTTACATGTATCTGCTAATCCATGAAAACTCTAACTGTAGGATGTTTGTGTTTCTGAAGAAACCAAAAATATTCACTTTGTCCTTGTACTGCTGCCATGCTATTAAAGAAACCAGAAGCTGAAAACTATTTTTGCAGTCGATGTTAATTATAACAATTCTTTGTCTTTTGCTTTAAGGCAGGCTTGACAACTCTTGATAAAACTTCAGGTGCTGTACTGATGTGATGACGTTTCAGGATGGTCATCAACCTCTGAAGGTTGTCATGCATGCCATGAACAGCTCGACCTGTCCGGTTGAACTCTGTGTGGATAAGCTCTCCCCCTTGTTAATTATGAAAGTCAAAGCCCACCTTGAATCTTTGAAGCTACTCAGTGGCATGGTCCTCAAGCAAGTGCAGCTTGAGTGTGATGTTTTCCTCCTTGAGCAACTGCCGGTATGCATACATGAAGTCTCTGATGGTGATGTCTGTAGCTGTAGGGAACAAATAAGAATAAAGCATTAAAGGCTCTGAAAAATAGTACTTTTTCGGGTTATGAGTACAGTACCTGTTCAACGGATGTCATCTTCCTCAAATGTATTCTGCATGGTTGATGGCGTGATACACACCTGCAAATTTCACAAAACAACTTTGTGAAATTACTCCTGCAAGTTGATGCCTTACGAAGCAGCTGCGTCTGCACTGCCACAGGGACATTGTCTAAATTTCTCAGATGGGCTTCAACCTTTTGTCATGGAACAGATATCAGTCCCTCTATTACTTCAAGCCGCAAATTTAGAATTAAGACAGTAATTGAAATTGTGACTTACATTGAGGGTATCTTCGGGGAAAGGCAAAAAATTACGTGGCTAACCCCAATAAAAAATTGAAACAAAAAGTGAACTGTATTGCAATGTTATGATGCATTTTAAGACAACACACGCAGTGATCATGTGGGTACAGTACATGTAATCATTCATTACCTTGCCACACTCTTGGAGGTGGTTGTCCACAGAGGACTTTCCCTCATGCCTGTCTGTAGATTCAGAAAGTTGACTATGTACATGTACGTGTATGTCAGGCCTACTGTTGCTGCGTCTGTCTCCTGTAACGTAAATACACACATACACTGTACATGTACATGTAGAAAGGAATTACAGATGACCCAAAAAAGTGAAGTGATCCGAGATTTTCAAACAAAGCCACTTGATTTGATTTGATATGGATGATTTGATACCTCTATGCACAGGCATTTCCATGTACATGTATCTTGATTGTTGTCATTATTGTGCTAGTTACATGTTGTTCGATTTCTTGTCTCAATTGAAGGGCTTCATTTGTTGCGTGCCGATGGTCTGCAGCTTGCTCATCTGCTGACTGGGTTGTTCTGAAGAATATGGAGAGGTAGTTCCTCCCTGATTTCTTCAAGACATTCACATTTCTGGGTAAGCTACTTTTGGATCAGTTCCTGCCATTTGGCTTCAGCAATAACTTGTTCCTGAAACGAGTTGGGAAGGCCTCTTCCACTATTTTATGCTCTGCCTAATTATGACACAACTGATGGTCAGGCTTGTGACATGAATGCTCAAATGCATCAAAGAGTTTCTTGTGGACACCAAGCGAGACGTGGAGACTAGGCACAACCACCTGTAAAATGACAAAGCAAAGAGAGAATAAAATTTATGTTTCTGAAACAAAGTAACTCGACCAACTCTAGATATTTAGCTTTATGTTGAGCCGACACTGATACGTCAAAACCGTTTCTTAGTTACAGAATTACCTCCCGGCAAAGAATGACTAGACTAATCAGATATAAGTTTTGTGCTCCCAGTTCCCTAAAAATCACTATTTTAAACTTACATGCTCAATTTCAGTGAGCATAATTGACTCATGAACCACATTGAAAGAAACCTCTTTGGCTCTGTGTTTTCCCCCATGGTCTGCATGAAATGCCTTCAGATTGGCAGTAATAGAAGCCAGTGTTCCAGCTTAGCATGGACCTTGCTCGTAGTCCTGCTTGTCGGCGTGGCAATAGATGCAGCAGTATCTTGCTATGAAGATAAGAGGTACACCTGTTAATTATGCATTTACTGTGCTACTCACAAATATCAATATTGCCAATTTTGCAACATGAACCCATCATTTCATCCACTGATTCCATACAGCTTTGCAAGGAGCTCATAGTCCCCATAGCAGAATAATCTCACTGCTCGGTCCCTAGAGAGAGCATATCACAAACTTTACTTCATAAAGAGGTGTGTGTCAGTATTTTGTTACACAGTACATGAGATCAATTTCATGTATCTTTGCCCAATTGAAATGTGTGTGATTACTTTTAAAGACAAATCTTCAGCATTCCTACTGCCATTTTAGAGTTGCCAATTGAGCAATCTGGTCCATTACTTGGGGGAGAGTGTGCTGTAGGTTTTGAAGAGAATCAATTAAACCCACCAAAGTCAGGTGGCCTGTAGTGGGTATCCGACATTAACAAATATGGCATGCATATTCCCATAGCAAAGTGTTACTAAAACTGAACCCGATTCTCTGTATAGTTCCCAGCACATCAGTAGTCTAAGTACTTTGCTGAACGTCAGCTTTATTTGTAGTAAATTGACACTTATGACACACTTTGCTAGGGAAGGACATCATGTTTGTTGATGTTTGGTATCCACTATCATGTAGGCCATGGGAATCTGTCTGAAGTACACCTGTGGATTGTGGAAACGAGCAGTCTTGTGTTTATTTATTGTACTTAGTTGTGACTCACGTTAACTCCAGCTACTTGTAGATACCCAGTAGACTCGACTTTTGTACGTGTATATACCTTCATGTATACTGACTGGACTTGACCGGAGTAATTATGTTCAACTTACTTCTTGAGTCACAGTCTTATACTTACTGGCCTGGAGTTACAAAGTGTAGTGACTCATAACTGTGGATGAAGTTACATGTAACTCGTAGACTCAATGAAGTAATTTGTTTTTTGGATCTCCTTTGTATTCCGACAGTGTAAGAAGCAGGCTCAAGAGATAAGTGAGTTCCATTTAAGACCCAAGTGAAAGCAACTCAGATGTGACAAGGAACAAGAACAGTGGATGGAGAAAACAGCAGGTAGAGAAGCTATCACTTTTCAGTCATGTTTGCCATCTGTTTAGAAATGAATTTTGCTGGTACGTTTGGCCATGGAATTTTCCAAGGTCTAAAAGTTCTGATGTGCTCTTATTAAAGGCAGTGGATATGTAGCCATTATCCGCAAATTTAATTAAAGTGTATTTTGTCAGCTACAAGTAGACAGTGCCCTCTTTGAATGAGTAAACCTATAAAGGTTATTCTACACTGCCCTTTAGAGTTGTGATAATGGAATTCCATGGGAGACGACTGCGCATGCGCAGACCAGATTGCGATTGCAATTTTGAGCAGACAGTCGAACATTTGAGTTCGTCCAGTCAGAGATTTTGACTTGGTGATTTATTACGGGATTTACGGTCCCTTTTACCCGAGCCAGATGGTCAAGGGTGTTGAACATGATAAGGAACCCAGGGGTGCCGATGGCGACCCCAAAGTGAAAGAAAAACAGAATGAAAACGCCAAACAAAACGTGAGTTCACATGGCAAGAAACTCACTGGTACTGGCAGTGTTCCCACTGCTTGGTAAGCTCCGTGCGTATCGAAGACACGCTGAAGAAATCAAGGACTGAAGAAGCAGCCAATAAGTTGAACGAGAACTTGAGTCTCTTAACGTCAAATGTTTTGCAGTTGACTGATGAAGTCGGTAAACTGGAGATTGCAGAAAAAGAACAGTGGGAGTACACACAATTTCGGGAATATGAAGAGGACTACTTTTGTCCTCGTGATGATTATGACACTTACGGCGCCGGCTGGCACATGGTGGATGAATACGATGGTGACCGCCATTCGGTTTCGCAAAGCATGACCCGTGACCTCGATGACTCACAAGGCACTAGCGATGTACACAAACAACGTGAACGTCAGGAGCATGAAACTGAAAGGCATGACAGCGACCAATTGTGACCAATTTTCTTCACTAGGGACAAGCGAAGACCCAAACGTATCTAAATACGATAGATTTTTAAGTGAACTGAACATAGTGGACCAGGAAGAAACCGGACGGCCTATTGCTGAGCTGCTGGAAAAAGGGATGAACAAAACGTTCACTTCTGGGATGGAATACGACTTAACCTAAAGTTAACCACATCGGCAATTTTACGCCCAAAAAACTGCACGGCACTTACTGCTGTCAAGGTGGATGAAGTTGTGTGGAACCTACTGAAAGGCCCAACCAAGAAGTTGATGAGAGACTTCAAGTGGTGCATGCGGCTGTGGTTAAGGCCGCTTGTAACCTCGCTAAATTGGTTGACAAAATGCAGAAGAGCCTCGCAGTTGTTAAGTTTCAACCGGAATTCCAAGATACAGGAACACGTTGGGTGGATGATTTGACCACGATGGCCATGTCTAGTTTGGCTATGCTGGGTCATGCTTACCATGGCCTTTGCCTCCATAGGCGTGAATTACACAAACCAGAGGTTGCATGGAAGTACAACAACCTGTTTTCCACAGATGTTCCACACAACAACTACCTCCATGGGGGAAAGGACAATGTTGAAAAGGTCATCGAAGACGTAAAACAAAGCAGCCAGCTTCGACTTGGTGGCAAACCATACACCAAGGGTCCGAGGCGACAGTACTCGGGCCATTTTGATGGATATACATGTAGCTACCATTGGGGACCATCTAGGTTTGGCCCCATCTGTCCAGGCGTGGCGCCATGTATCGGGGAAGACCCCAGTACTGCCCCTCTCCCAAGGGAAGAGGCACCATGAGAGGAGCTTCTAGTCGTGGCAGTGCCCGGAGCTCAGCACCCAGAAGTGAGGTAGGCTACCCCCAAGATTTGACTTCTTGTGATGCTGCCTTAATTAATTTTAAAGCCACTCAATTTGAAGCAGGAAGACTGAAACACTTTGTAGCACAGTGGCAAGAGATCACTTCAGATAAAGAGACTTTCGAAACGGTCACAGGCTGCACTATTGAGTTTGAACATGTTGTTCCCTAACAGGTTGGCAAACCTACATCAAAATTCATTGTCAAGAAGAAAAAATTGTGGACGCCGAGATTAAACACTTGTTAGAAAAACAAGTTCTTGAGGAAATCTCTCATGTTGATGGGGAATATCTCTCCACAATTTTCCTTGTGCCAAAGAAAAATGGAACATTCAGGTTAATTCTAAACCTCAAAAACTTCAACATCCATGTTAATTATATCCATTTAAAGATGGACACCTTTGACGTAGTGCTGAAGTTGCTGTCGCCAGGCAGTTTGATGGCCTCAATCGATTTAAAGGATGCTTATTACAGTGTTTCGGTGCATGAAGATTTCAGAAAATTCCTCAGATTTATCTGGGATGGCAAAGTGTTTCAGTTTACCTGCTTACCAAATGGGCTTTCCTGTGCCCCTCGTAAATATACAAAAATGATGAAGCAGGGCAGGGAGAGAGAGGCTTTTCTGGATGATATGCTGGTTGTAGCCAATACGCAGAGGGAATTGCAAGCCTCAGTTTCATATGTCGTGCAGACTCTGCAGCAATTAGGATTTGCCATAAATTGGGATAAATCAGTTCTCCATCCCTGTAAACGGCTAATCCACTTGGGTTTTGAGATTGACTCGGATTCAATGACTTTAGCATTACCTACAGAAAAAGTAGATAACATCCAAAGGCTGTGTAAAGCCATGATTCAGAAAAATGCAGACACAATACGCAATGCAGCGAAGATCATTGGAAGTTTTGTGGCATGTTTTCCAGCTGTGCCTTTTGGCTCCTTACACTATAGAAACTTGGAATTTGCAAAAGTTGCAGCTTTGGTATCGAGCAAAGGTAACTTTGATGTACAGATGACAATTACTGACTTGATGAAACTGGATCTCAAGTGGTGGTTGAACAGCAGAACAGGTCAAAGGAAACCGATTGCACAAATAAACCCAGAAATAACATTGACGTCAGATGTGTCTTTGGAAGGCTGGGGTGGAACTTGTGGAGACAGTAGAACTGGGGGGGAGATGGACTGAGACAGAAAAATTGAATCACATTAACTATCTCGAGCTCTTAGGAGCCATTTTTGTCTTGAAGTCGTACAAGACGGCAATCGCTGGAAAACATGTCCACTTATTGTGTGACAATACTACTGCAACCACACCATAACCTCAAAGAGCCCGGGGGGGGGCAGAATCTGCCCCCCATTGATTTTTCTTAAATCATCTTTAAGATTATTTGTGCATATTAATACTTCATGACAATTTTTTCCAATGTTTTAGCTTCATTTTGACCCCGAATTTATGAAAATCGGACGTAGCGTTCTCTTTCAGCGATGAATTTTAGAAGGCATGGTGCAGCGTGATGTGAAATTTACCATGACTTTGTACACAGCAGTACACCGTACATGTACATACATGTAGGACAGAGTGGTATCCTACCATGAATAATAGATTAGTTAAAATTATGCAAAGACTTAATTAATTTACAGTGCAGTGCTCTCTCCCAGTTCAAAGTATGGAAAGGTCGTAGCACTATCGGATCACACCCTTGAGTGGTCAAGTTTGTCAAAGCAGATTTCAATTTGAGGCCACCTTTACCTAGATACTCAAACACGTGGGATGTTGCAGTGCTTTTAAGATTCTTGCAGTCATGGTCCCCAGTTAGGCAGATATCACTGAAGCAATTAACTCTCAAAGTGGTGCCACTGATAGTGTTGCTTGTAGCTGTAAGAGCTCAGACTTTGTCAGTCTTGGATCTGAAGTACATGATGAAGTCCAAGTCAAACTTTTGTTTTCAGATTGGAGCAGCAGATCTAAAACAGTCTAGACCAGGATACAGCCCACCTCCAGTGGAGTTGCTGGCCTATCCAGTAGACAGACGCCTCTGTGTCTGTAAAGGTTTGGATGAGTACATACCCGTACTGCCCCTTTACGAAAAGGTGAATCACAGCTCTTGATCAGCTATGCAAAGCCTCACAATCGAGTGACATCATCTACAGTTGGCACATGGATTAAGGTGTCCATGGCAGGCATCGACACATCAGTTTACATGGCCCGCAGTGTGCAACAAGCATTAAAAGCGGGGAGAAACATTACACAAATTATGAAGACTGCAGGTTGGTCGAATGCAGGTACATTTGCGCGTTTTTATGAGAAGCGAGTGGCACCTGAATCAGCTATGGGGGAACATGTCTTAGCAGGAGTACACAAATGAGGGAGTGCTGGCTAGTAGACATCGTACACTCATGGTTTTTGTGCCATTTTAAGTTTAAGGTTTTAATGATGACATTGGTTTTAAGTGGCAAAGGTTTCGCCTCTGAATGATAGTTTTATAATTCTTGTGTACCCAGTTAGTTAGAGCACATTTTCTTGTTTACTGAAGTTGTTCCTACTTACTATCTTTCCCTCACCATGTGAATGGAACTGCTTGTATTGTACTCCCCTGTGTTGGTGTTGCAGGTTGTTTATCTTTTATAACTATAAGGGTTAAGTTCCAGAACTTACTGGATTAAACCAAACAGAAGTAAGTGAAGGAAAAGACTTTGTCTTTGCTTTAATTTATTTGCATTCAGGGTGTGCTTTTTATTACAGTAGAGCTCCAGTTAGCTTTGAAGTCCCATGGAATTCCGTTATCACAACTCTAGAGGGCAGTGTAGAATTGAAAAATGAAAGGAAACTTACCTGAAGTTGAAGTTTGATTATATTTCTGCACTGATCTCTAGAGGTGATATAAGGAATGACATCCGCACTCACCCTCCCCACGATTGGTTGGGCAGTTGTATTTCTGGACCTGTCCCGTATCTGTTAAAGTCTGGTCTGTGCATGCGCGGTCGTCTCCCATGTAATTCCTTATATCACCTCTAAGGAGTAGTGTAGAACTACAATCAAACTTCAACTTGAGGTAAGTTTCGTTTAATTTTTCAATTAAATTCAGACTATATTCCCAGTTCCTTCAGTGGTCCTGTTGATAGCGTGGACATCTTGAGATTGCTTCCATCTTGAGATGGGTTCCACGCACAGCTGTCATCCTTTTTTCCCCCAAATACTAAGAAGTTTCTTTTTTGTTATTGTAAATTGACTTCAACATTAATTACAGAGTATTAAATCCTCTTTCTGATTCGTGGCTCTGGAGGTTTTTTTTGTTTTGGAAAAAGTGAGAAATTGCAAAATGGTGTGATTGCCACTTTGTGAACACAAAATCACAATGACTATGTTGCCACAGAACTAGACAAAGATTTGTTGTGGTAAGAATTTCTAAGTCCCCAAAACAGAAACTGCACATGTTATTCTGGCAAAAGTCCTTTCAGTGACATTTGCCAGCGATGGCTTAATATCCTTTGCCTTTTGTTAAAGAGCCTACTTGAAATCTCAAATCACATAGCTGCCATCTTTGCAGTGTGAGAACAGAAAACAGTCACTTGGTACCATCTTCTGTTCGTACATGTGTCATCTGATTGAGACAGACCTTGCCTTGAGCCTTGATAGAGTAAGGCAATAGCAGCCTGGTTGGTCACCTGCCTGTGGGCTCATCTTCTGGCAACACTTCCCTGATAGCAGTGTGGTTGGTCCCCTGTGGGCTCATCTTCTGGCATCACTGCTCTGATAGAATAAGGTGATAGCAGCGTGGTTGATCCCTTGTCTTTTGGCTCATGTGGCATCACTGCCCTTGTCTTTTGGCTCATGTTGTTGCATCACTGCCCTGATAGAGTAAGGCGATAGCAGCGTGGTTGGTCCCTTTCCTGTGGGCTCACCTTCTGGCATCACTGCCCTGATGGAGTAAGGTGATCGCAGCGTGGTTGGTCCCTTGCCTGTGGGCTCATCTCCTGGCATCACTGCTCTGATAGAGTAAGGTGATAGCAGTATGGTTGGTCCCCTGTCTGTGGGCTCATCTTCTGGCATCACTGATCTGATGGAGTAAGGTGAAAGAGTAAGGTGATAGCAGCGTGGTTGGTCCCGTGCCTGTGGGCTCATCTTCTGGCATCACTGCCCTGACAGAGTAAGGCAATAGCAGTGTGGTTGGTTCCCCGCCCATGGGTGCATTGGTCCTTGCAGCCGTTTGCTTTTGCCTATCAGTTCCTGTACCAATTAGAACCCACCCAGCCTGTTACTCCCTGCACTGCTAAGCACTGTTTTCTGGATGTATTGGCAACGTAATATAATAGGCCTGTGCCTGGTACCCAGCATAAAAAAACAGATAAAAACCTGGTTCCATTTTTTCAGGCCGGGTACCTGTAAAAAAAATAAAATTGTAAATAAGTTATGAACAAACATCCATCATTCCGAAGGGCAGACTTGCTGAAAAATCACTGTGCCGGTGAAAACCTGATCCCGTGGTCATACATGAAACCTCAGTTCGGAGATCAACAGCTACTTTTGTTATCCACTTCTCCCATTGTACTGTAGTCATTTTACTAGTTCACAAGAGCGAAAAAAAACCCACTAAAATCCACGGGCAATAGGTCACTCACTATGTGTGATTTCAAATACTTCTTTAGATTGAACAGTCATAACCTTTGCATCTAATGTCTGCTTAGTCAAAATGACTTTTAGAGTTTCAATTTTTTTGTTAATTGATCGAAAAGTGAAAGCTTTTCCCCCTACTTTCGGATCGCACGACATTAACATGCAAATTCGTTGCGAACTCAACTACACAGGTGCAGCATAAATGTATGTGACGTAATAGGTTTGTCAACTGTGCGGCATGGGGGAGGGTACCATTGATAGCTCACTGTACAGTTAAAAAAGTCGAGTCTAATTTACGCAATTTCTACGTTTTAATTCGTTGGAATTCTTATTTTGGATCAAATTCTTCATTAGAAAAGCAACTTTTTGCAATGGTTCTGGCTGAAATGGATTTTTTGCATGGTTACTTTTTATTTGTGGAGACGTTTTTGTCTCGATCCTAAACCGATCCAGAACTAGGAAGGGTGTCATCGTCTCTTTCGTCGATCGATCCTGTGAGTCCAAATATAAAAGCTTAGATTTTGAAAAAAATTGAGGTATCTCCAAAACACAAAGGAAGGATGTTTTCCATATGTACAAAAGCATTTCAAATTTAAGTATTTTTTCATTTGAAAAAAGGGAAATGTTGACAGGTGCAAGTTATACTGTCGGCCAATCAAAAGTCACTTGTCGAAGTACTTATACATTAAAATCTCAACAACTCAAACCTCGGGGGAATGGACTTATCAAAAAAAATTATTTATTAAACCACTTTATCGTGGTACCTTGGTGTGGCAAAACTGTGGTATTGCTTGGTCTTGTTTACAAGGTGAAGCGCTGCACATACCGGTAGTCTTATTTTTTTTCTCTCACATGACCTTTCCTTTTGCGGTCACATGGCCGCTGCCGTATCAGTGATTGGACTGCCTGAAGGGGACTACAATTGGGTCCGTGTTAGCAATCAGGTTATAGCTTCAGTAGCTTGAAAGCCAGGATTTGTTGCAGTTTAAGGTAAAGTTGGTTTATGCAACACGCATACAACTGGTCCCCATGAGAAAAGAAATGCACTTGACAGTGATGACTCCTTTTAACCCATGAAATAGCGGTACGTACCAAGGTACTGATCTGGTCCACACGTGACACGACCAGCGCTCACCATTTGTTATCTTAGTTATCTTTCCTCAAATGTATTCTCAGCCCCAGAGGGGCCATAAAAGGCTACATGATCTAAAAAATGTTAAAAGGTGAGCCCCTTCAAAAAAGACAAGTTTGCTGCCCCTCCACTCTGAATATTTGCTGCTGGATGTTCCCTTCGGTTGACACCTTTGCTTATTTTGTGCCTTTTATCCTGTGACATTGATATAGCTAAAGGTTATCATTCTTTGTCTTTTTTGTTGATTTTTTCTGTTGTCAGATGTGCCTGTGTTGAAAGCTGGTGAAGATATCCTGCATCGTGGTGTTAGTGGATTGACCAGGGATGAAATCTCCAAATTTGAAGATGCAGGCTACGTCATGAATGATGGCAGGTAAGAGTGTCTTTTGGCTAGTAAACAATAAATATGCACATCATAAGAAAGAAAGCATTGACATTTGGGGGGGAAGACCCTAAACTTGAAGGTACAGTCCATCAATTGTCAGTTGTGCATTATGTTGGAACCTTTAACCACTTCCTGCTGGGGACTCCGGAATTGGAGCCGTATGGTTTATATGCGTGGCCGGGGTCTCCAAACTCGGACAAAGGAAACAGGGCCCTGTAACAAAAGACCGTACTCCAAACAAAAGACCAGGCTGCTGGGAATTATTGACATTTTTCACTCTCAAATGTGGTGATAATCCAGCCTTGTTTTGAAACCATATACCAGGGTTTGGGGCATTGAGAGCAAGCGGATTACCACTGGGACAAAAGCGCTCCACCACCGCAGCGATGAGCCACACAGCACTGCTGCACGCTAATCTGGCCCCTATTGAAAAGAGGTCAGCAGTGCACTGAGCCAGGTTCGTGAACAAAAGAAAGTTGCATAACACCACAAAATCTGGGCTCTTTTTACAAGGCTGCAGGCCTGGCTGAAATACTTGGGCGTCAATGAAAGTCACCTGTCTTATTAGAGTAGTGCCTAAAGATTACTTTGTGCGGCTATAAACGACCTTTAAATGAAATGTTGACGTTTTGAAGGATTTTGAAAACGGAAAAAATAATAGTCATGCCGGCTCAGCATCATCAACATTGAAAAATGTCTCGGTGTGAAATGGGTAACCCCCCTTCGACATTATAGCGGAGATATATATTTTTTTTATTTTGACACCCATTTGTACAAATTAAACATACTGTTCTTGCACAGCGCCAATATTTCCAAGATCGGTCAGCTAGAGTTGAATGCGTTTTCCCCTTTGGAGCTCAATGCACCCGGGCTGGCGCGCATGTAGCCTTGAACTTCAAATGACTGTAACAACAAAACCAGACGCCAGATTGACCTCAAACTTCAAGTTTGTAATGACAAGGAGTGGAATGTGTGCACCCTCCCCACCGTCTGGCAGCTGTGAGATGGTGGGCTAAAATAACCGGGCTCTTTGAGGGTTCAGACCAGAAAATTACTCAAATTGAAGAAAGGACGCCTTAGAATAAATCTGAGTTTTAGCTCAGTGCATTTTCTGAGCAAAACAATATTTTGCAATACAATATTTTTCGATTTTGATTTCAGATCAAAAGTTGCTGTCTTATTTGAATTGCACCCGAATTCAGCATCTGGGACACATGTTAATGTTCAGTTGAATGCAGCTATGTGATGTCACGCACTGAACCACCAAATTAGAGTAATCGCGCACGCGCACTTGTCAGAGCAGTTTCCATAAATGGCCTCCTGCATTGTTTATTTCAAAATAATAACTTGGAAAAATAATTTGGCAGGGAGTGTCCCACAAAGCCAAGTATGCTTTTCATTAATGATTTCATCAGTTGTGATTCTATACTGCCCTCTGGAGGGAGATATGGAATTCCATGTATACGTTGCGCATGCGCCAGATTACGTTTGTTGCCTGATCGGGTAAAATATCTCTCATAAGATTTTCGCTGTAAATCTTGAATTATTTAAACTCCTTTGGAGTTGAACCCGAATCTTTGACGGATTATGCCTTAAACTCAGAAGGCAAAAATGGCACAAGACCGTGGCGCTGTCACATCAAAAGAAAGGGATAGAAGAAACCCCAATGCGGAAAAATCCAAAATCAAAAGTCCTGCCAAGAGTGCAGCTCTGTGTGATGCGAGCACCAGTGCTATGCGTTCTGGGCATGTATGACTGGAACAAGCGAAACAGAAATGTGACATGTCGACTTCTCGTACAAACTTAAGCTCGAAGAGAACGAGTGACAAGGACAAAAGTGTTCTAACAACAATGATGAATGAGCTAAAAAAGCTGATGGCAGAGTTACAGTACATGAACTCAAAAAACAGAAGGAAAATCCCAGTCCTTATAGTCCCATAAATTGGTATGATGCAGAGCACTACGAGTACCCTTATGAGCAGAAATATGTTCCCTGCGCTGCGGAAGGATATGCACCTTCCATGACAGAACAAGATGGCGGTGCCTATTTCGGCAAAAGCAACAATGAAGCCGATGAACCTCCTGCCAAAAAAGAGGAAATCAGTGGCGGAGGCACTCCCCGATACTGACAATGTCGGTGCTGAAGGTAAAGACGTGAAGATGTCGCAGCCACCAGGCAAGTTCGACAAACTCCTTAAGAAGTTTCATAAGGATCAAGAAAAGATCACCGATCCAGTCGAACCAAGTTTAGCAACCGTAGTGAACAACATGTTCACATCTGGCATGGATTATGACCAGTTCAAAACTATGACTTCTGAAGTAGGGCAGCCTGAAAATTGCAAGGAACTACAGCAAGTGTGAGCTAATGAACTCATTTGGAATTTCTTGTCTCTGAGCCAAACAAAAAGTTTGACTAGTGAATACAAGTGGTACAAATTGCTATGGCCAAATCTGCCTTGAGCATCGTCCAGATGGTAGACACCTTGGGCAAACAGGATTCGATCAATGACCTGGATAAGTTACATGTAACTGACCTTGGCATGAATGGCCTTGCCATGTTAGGCAATAGTTTCCACAATCTGTGCCTGAGGAGATGTGAACTGCACAAGCCCCAAGTGGCATGGAAATATGGCCATCTCTTTTCAGCCAATGTTACTCACAACCAGTTCCTTTATGGGGATAGTGTTGAAAAGCTGATCAAGGACATAGGAAATATAAATCAGGTGTAGAGTCAGCTGAAGCCTAGCACAAGACCACGATCCACTCCACCCTTTACAGGAGGCAGGGCAAGAGGTGGCCTGGTTTATTATCGTCTGTGTGGACCTGGGTACTTGTATCCATATGCCAGGGCTCATCGATATGCACCTGTGAGGTGGCAGCCACAATCGTATTCCATGTCAGGTTACCGATGAGTGTCTGCATATGCATCCACACCTATACATGAAGGCAAATCAGGACAATCCTCAAGCTCAACTGGTACCAAAGGTGAGGTATGTGATAGGCTTACACCTACATGTAAATTTGTGGCAGGAAACCTGAAACAATTCATCCAAAATTGGAAGGAAATAACATCAGATGAGGACATTTTGCAAACAGTTGCAGGCTGCACCATTCCTTTCAGAAATGATACTGTCCCAGCACAAACCGGAAATGTTCAGATATCCAGATTTAAAAAATCACATTAAGTGATGGAGAAGAGATATACAAGTTATGGAGAAACAGGTGCTTGAATTGGCAAGCTCAGAGCAAGGAGAGTTTATATGTCCTGTATTTCTTGTCCCAAACAAGAATGGAACAATTCGTTAATTTGAAAGAATTCAATCGGAATGTTCAGTACTGTCATTTCAAAATGGAAACTCTGACAGCAGCATGGGGGGCATTGAATCTCATAACACCAGGATGCCTGATGGCATCAATATATCTCAAAGATGCTTACTATGGTGTCCCAATTCATGAGTGCTTCAGAAAATACCTCTGGTCCATTTGGACTGGACAGCTTTAGCAGTTTACCTGTTTGCCTACTGGCTTGTCATGTGCCCCGAGAAAATATACCGAGCCAGTATATTTTACACTACGTAGATGGGGCACAATATAACTGTTTTTTTTATGATACAGAGTACATTGGTTGTTGCTGATACAGCTTTGCTTGATTCTGTGCAACAGGTTTTAACAATGTTGCAAACTTTGGGCTTCACAATCAATTTTGAAAAATCAGTACTACAAACCACAACCAGGATTACCTGCTTGGGATTTGAAAAAGATTCAGAATTTATGATGGTTACCTTACCTGAAGAAAAAAAACACCCAAAATTGTTTCGTAAGCTAAGAATCTGCTGCAGAAATCTGAGGACTCTATACGCAATATGGCTAAAGTCATTTGTAGTGCAGTAGCCAGTTTCACAGCTGTACAGCTAAGCCCTCTACATTATTGAAATCTCGAAAACGGGACAGAATGAAAGGTACCGGTAATTTTGAACATTCCATGGCCGTAACAGCCACATTGAAACAAGAATTGCAATGGTGGATAGATAATACATACAAAGCAAGGTTATAAACACCCAAAACCCAGAAGTAAGCATTATGTTGGATGCTTCATTAGAAGCTTGGGGTGGCTCATGTCTTAATGAATCAACCGGTGGTTGATGGAATGAGGAAGAAAAGGAATGTCATATTAATTACCTTGAATTACTGGGAGTCTTTTATGCTTTACAGTCTTTCCAAGACAAATTTGTTGATACATGTAAACATTAGCAGCTCTTAATGGATAATTCAACAGCTGTTGCTTAGTTAACCATATGGGAGGAAAGCAATCTTACCTCAAAGATATAACCAAAAATTGGTGGTCTTGGTGTCTTACCAACAGTATTATCGAAATCACACAACCCTGGTGCCAATAATGTAGTTGCTGATTTTGAAAGTAGGCATTTTAATGACAGATGCGAATGATCCCTGGATAATCATGTTTTTCATAACCTTACTCAGGCTTTGGTCCAATGGACATTGACCTCTTTGCTTCTTGATTGAATGCAAAGTGCCAACGGTATGTTGCTTGGCGAAGGGACCCTGAAGCTGAATTTATTGACCCTTTCTTGCGTTCATGGTCAGAATGTCATGCATATTTCCCCCCCCCTTTCACCTTGATCGGCAGATGCCTACAAAAGTAATGGTGCGACCAAGGGTCGGCGTGTATGGTAGCACCACTGTGGCCAACCCAGGTGTGGTTTGTTCCCTTCCTGGAACTGCTTGACAAGGAGCCTGTGCAGCTACCACAAGTCAATCTCCTAACCGTGCGATTCAGTCAGAAGCTTCATCCTCTACGAGAAACATTGATACTGATAGCAGGACATGTATCTGGAAAACACTCAGACAATCTCAGATTTCAGAGAGGACTTCAGAAATCATGCTCAGTGCCTGGAAATCAGGGACTCATAAACAGTACGGTGTTTACATCTGCAAATGGAACAACTTTTGCACTGAAAGGCACTTTCATTGTGTTGAAACCCTCCGTGGAGTGAGCGTGACTCACTCTGAGCCGCAATCACATGATTTATATCACATGAGAAAAATCCAACGCAGCAGCTGGCCCACACTTCCTGACTTTGCAAGTTGGACCCAGCGACTCCTTTAAGAAGGGGTTTCACCCTCCAGGTCAGTTTGGTATTGCCAAATGTTTGGTGGGAAGATACCCAGTCCCCAGCACTCCCATATGTTTGTGTACAAAAGTGCCCTTCCCCCTTGTGACAGTGTAGCAAGCCACTGTGGAGTGATTTCACTGCCCTGAATGACTGCCAGAGCCCAGGATTGAATGCCTCCTGGCTCTCCACTCAGTGTAAACGAGTCTGGAGCAAGGTTTATTGCCCTTCTAGGATTTCCTGGGAGGATATACTATAAGAGACTGGGTCCGACCCATGGGTGATAAGATTCTTGAGGGCAGTGTATACCCTCGGACCCCCCTACACCAAGATACATTGATACATGGGATATAGCTGATTTGCTTTACATATTGTGGGGCATGTCTCCAGTGAGGTATTTATCTCTTAAAGATTTGACCTTGAAGATGGCCTCTCTTGTAGCCATACTGTTGGTGGCTAGAGCTAAAAAATTTCAGTCTTTTAGACTTGAATAATATGACTCAGAGCAAATCAGCATATTCATTCACTGTTGCAACAGCCGATCTTAAACAAAGCAGACCGGGCTATCCCCCTTTGCCTTAGGGCATATTTAGTCAACAGGGGTTTTTGTGTGCACAGGGCCATGTCAAAATATTTCACCAGGAATAATGCCTCATCGCCAAGGAGAAACAAGGCTTTTCATCAGCTTTGTGTGACCACACAAAGCCATGACATTTTCAACACTTGCTCACCGGGTGAAGACTACAAGTATGTTGAGTAAGGCTGGTACCGATACATCAAAGTACACAGCACAGTGTCAGATCAGCTTCATCCTCAAAAGCACTAAAAATCAGGAGCCTCTTTGGATGATATCCTAAGCACAGTAGGTTGGAGTAGTGTGCATCTACATGTACTTGTGTTAAATACTATAACATGGCATGGCCACAAAGATCCTTAGCTCTTAAATGAGGTAGAAATACAGCATCAATGGCCTATCAAGCTTAATGTTACTTCATCACAGTAAAGGACTTTGTAGTCAACTACAAGTCATTACCAATGGTTTGGTTTCTCTTACTGAATTCAAGAAATTGATGATTTCATGTTAAATAAAAAGAAAAAAAAAGAAGAAAGTTGCAGGCTTAGGGCTTACAGTCAGAACAAATTGGTTTATGTTTACAAACATGTATAAGTGTCGATTCAAACGTTGTGCTCAGAAGTTGGGCTTGTATCACCGAACATGTACAATGTTATGACAATAAATCAAAGAGTTTTTTCACTTGTTTGGAGCTGATTGATTACTTCTGTCTACTTGGATCCATGGCCCAGAGTATTTAGCTTTGAAGTCCTATGGAATTCCCTATCGCCCTCCAGAGGGCAGTATAGAATTAAACGAGACATACATGTACATGTACCTGGAAGTTGAAGTTTGATTGTAGTTCTATGCTGCTGTCTGGAGGCTCTACTAGGAATTACATGCCCACCATCCCACCCTCAGTCTACGTTATATGATTTTCTCATGATGGTAAAAATCTTGGATCTGACATTAACACAGTAAACAGTCCTTGAACACAACTATACAAAATAGTGTACATGGTAGGGTTTGGTACATTTTCCTGAACCTGACCCACGGATTTGTTAAAGTCTGGCTAGGCGCATGCTTAAACGTATACCCATGTAATTCCTAATATTGCCCCCAGAGAGCAGCATAGACCTACAACCAAATTTCAACACCTAAGTACATGTAGGTCTCATTTAATTTTTCCCTGCGAGGCAGTACAAATTTTTACTCACACGGTGGCTAGAGCGGACTATTCCGTTGAGTCTGTTTCATTTTTCAGGGTTGCAAAGCCCTGAGTCCGTCCTAAAGGTATATTAATGCTTCAGTGGTTGTCCCCTAGCCTCTACAGCTCTTACAAACCACCAAAAACCACCAAAAGTGCATCACAGTACCGTGGGGGGCCGTTTTCCCAGGCTATCCCAATTTGAGGGGGGACTCGCCACACGCCAGCCAAGCCATACCACCACCACCACACCCCCCAACAAAAATAAAACTTCAAAGACAGCTGAAAGAGGCCTCTGACAAGTTCCAGACAGCTGTCACTGATAAAAAACATTCTACTGCCTGCCCCGGGTACCGTTTTGTAAACAACCCATTAGATTGTACACAGCACACAGTCCTATGGGAATTGGCTAGAGGCTGGCTCAAGGCCGGCTGGATTTTTTTCATTTTTTCTGGCTAGGGGAGGCCCTGGCTGTAAAGTGACTAAACCAGATTTTTCAGCATGTACAGGGGTAGGATATGATAAGTAGTCTTTGCATTTGGACGAAAAAAAAAATTAAACGTTAATTAGCTCCAATGGACTCGTCAAAAGAGGCCACTCCCTCTTCCCAGGGTTTTAATTAAAACCTACAAATGATGGACTGTACCTGTAATATTTAGAATCCAATAGCAAATATGGAGTCAAATTAAACGAGTGTTTCCTCCTAGATATTTTAACCATTTGCTGCCGGGTGGTTTAAAAAATGCAGTGCACACACACATGTAATCGGGACTTTTCCAAGATTTTCAGTTTTCAAAAGTCTTCAAAAATTCATTTCAAATAATGGACATTTACACCCACACAAATTACTGTCTGGTGGCCACTCTAGTCTGACAGACAAAATTTATTGACACCCGAGTATTTCAGCCAGGCCTGCATCCTTGTTAAATGAGCCCAGATTGTGCGGTGTTATATAACTTTCTTTTGTTCAGGAACCTGGCACAGTGCACTGCTGACCTCTTTTCAGTAGGGGCCAGATTAGCGTGCAGCGGTGCTGTGTGGCTCATTGCTGTAGTGGTGGAGCGCTTTTGTCCCCGGTGGTCATCCACTCGCTCTAAATGCCCCACACCGTGGTATACTGTTCCAAAACAGGATTATCTTCACTATTAAATGTCGGTAATGTCCAGTAGCCTGGTCTTTTGTTACAAGGCCCAGCTCCCTTTGTCCTATTTCGGGTTCCCTGGCTCCGTGTATAAAGCCTATGTGCTTGAAAACGGGTCCCCTGGCAGCAAGTGGTTAACAGCCCCCTCAGTTGTTACAGTAGCTCTGATATGAAGGTTTGGTCAATTTTTAGTGTAAAAGGACATATACATGTATTCTGTTTGTGACTTTTTTATCAAAACGTCTGTTTCTCATACAGCTGTACTATAATTTTTTTGTGATTGATTTCTTCCCCAGACATTGTCGTTCGGAAGCTGTGCACATGCCCATTCAAGGAGAACCAGATCTATGAAGCTTCTGAGGAGGCCCTTGCCTGCTTCAACGAGAGAAGCAAGATGGAGGGACAGTATCCTGTGGGACTTCCCAGAGATGATTCCCGAGAACGTCAAGGAGATGTCAGTCCTCGCCTCCTTCACCGAGGAAGATTTCCACAGCAGGATCTCAAGCAGTGGTTCACACAGGCAAGGAAAAAGGAAAAGACTGCTTCCTCGCTTCTGCCTTACAGTGACGTTAATCTGTGCTGGGGTGGGGGTGGGTGGGTGTGCTGGACACTAGTGGGCACTGGGCATGGTACAATGTACGCGTAAGATACCCCTCTCATTTTAGCCATTGGGAAATTTGAATAAAACCTCCAAGTCTGCCTTTTTGTTACTGTCCAAAACTGAATCAGTAATAGTGCATCCTCCAAAAAGTGCAGGGGGGGGTTTCTGGTCAAACCTCATAAACGAGGGCACTGTTGATACAACTTTGCTTCATTAAAAGGACAGTTTTTGGTCCAATGTCTTTGTTCGTCATTGTTTTCATTCCTGATAATATAAGGTTCCTATGAATACAAGGCAATCTGCAGATGAAAAACCTCTTATTAACAAGGTCTGACTGTAACGCCCGCTCCTTAGATTTATGCCCCAGCCACCCTATGAGCAAGTCTTTGTGCGTTTGTATATTAGGAGGAAAGAGTCCCATACATGAGCATCACTTGACATCATGTGCTCAAACCCTATGAGGCCGGTCTAAGAAATTTAAAGTATTGTCTAATTAAATGCTGCAATATTTTTGCTGCTAAATTTGAATATTCAGGGTGTGTTATTACTTTCCGATGGCTGATTTAACACACAGGGAAAAATAGTGATGTCCGTGTATGGAACTCATTCCATGTCAGTGATAACTTTCATCTAAATTCATGACTGAAAAGGTATTTTCCTATTAAAGTTAAAATAAATAGTTGGACGGATTGCATTTCTTCAACCATTCCAAATGATTTCATCATGGTACAATTACTCTCATATTTAGATAGATAGATATAGATAGATATTTCTTACTTTATAAACATTTTGGGGGAGTCGGGTTGGTGTGGTGTTTCTTTCCTTATCTTCCACCTCAGCGGCCTGTGTTCGAATCCCACCTAGGCCCATAACCTCTAAAAGCTAAAGATTTATTTTCCCTTCATTACAATTCATAATCATCCTGCTGATTGTGTGTTGAATGAACAGTAATAAATAACAGTAAACTCTTAATGGCAGCCATGTACATGTATAAGTAATCTCTATTGGATGATTTTCAATGGACCATTATTGTCAACTGTGGAGCGTGTGAGGAGATATGTTGCACTTTTTTATATGTAAGATGGGGCTAGTGTCAAGTTTTTAGAGGTGGGAAGAAAAAGGCAGATAAATGTTCAAGGGGAAAATCAAGGAATCAAGTAGAGACTGAAAACCCAATCCACAAATCAGCTCGGACAAGATTTGATTCTGGGTTGCTGAGGTGGAAGGTGAAGAAAGTATCACCGTGCCAACCTGTCTCCCCAAAATAAAATAAACTCCTAACTTCATCACTATGCCTTACTTTAAAAACTATATGTATTTGTTGTGTCAGTGCTAAAAGGTCCCGTCTGAAAAACTGCATTAAATGGTCCTTATTGGAAAATACTATTTATTTTAAACATGAAATTGGATGAGAAAATTTGTTTAAATTTAAATATGTTGGCCCTAAAAACTAGTTTGATAAATACAATTAAAACGCATGTTGTCTTTTCAATACAGCATTATCTTTGTGCTCAGAGTAAGGCCCTAAGAGTTTTCAAAAATTTTATTTTTGCTGTAATGACCTTTTAGCACTGACCAGACGGATATGTGCCATAAAACAGTCCCCGTTTAAAAAGACTACAGCCTAGGGTGCTAGGAATTCGCATGCTTTTTAAAATGGAGAGTGTACTGCAAATTTCACATCTTCCTTTTTCCCATTCAGACAATCAAAATACCAATTCTGTACCCATCAACACTGATCAGCTCACCAATTTCCATTCCAAACCTCACTGTTAAAAGTTTTTTTTATCACCCCACGGAAATGGTTTCCATGTGCCCTTGTATTCTCCTAATGTCTTTTAATTAGCCTTTCCAACTGTAATTATCATGAACATTCTAAATCAGAAATTTGCTTGGTTTTCAAATTTTAGCTTACTGTGGAAATACGCCTTTTCCAGGTATATTTTAATATCAAAATTATTGTTTTCAGAACCATTTCAATTTTACTTGGGCTTTTTATGAAATAAATGTTTCAACTGACAGAACTGTTTAAATTCTGTTTGTGAAAATGTAGTACTTTGCCACTTGGCCCATTCTCCCATTCTCAATCATGTTACACTGCCAGAGTTACATCTGTTTCCCATCTTTTTACACTGCAGTCTAATCCTAAGCCCTGCCAGTCTCAAACATCTTCCAAGCAGTCTCAAACATCTTCCAAGCTCCTTATATAAAGTTCCCTCTTGGAGCCTTTTCAGTCTTGATCCTATAAGAATTATAATAAACCCACTAGCAATATGAAACATTAAGAAGCTCTGTCCTTCAACCCCATGGGATCCTTAGAGCTCTAATACTGATAGTCCCAAGCCCTCAGCCGTCCACTCTACCCTTCCTCTCAGCTCTCAGACTTCCAGCCCCTAGGACTTCCACCCTTGCCCATCTCCAGTACAGAGTTTGGCTGAAAAATATTCTAAGTCCAAACAATGGAAGGTTTAACATTTAGAAACGAGCACATTTCTTCAAGAAAGTGCCGTGGCATAGCGGTTAAGGACACTAGNAATTTGTTAAAAAAATTAGAAAAAAAAAAAAAAAAAAAAAAAAAAACCTCCTTTTCCGGGAACCCCGGGGAATTGAACCGGGATCCCCTGGCCTGGCAGCCAGCTCGCTAACCACCAGGCCAATTGCTTCTTGATAAATAAGAATTCGGAACTTATATTTAAAGGTTAGTATTGCGCAATTTAGAAAAAGGTCAGAGGACACAGGTCATCTGCATATATTTAAATAAGCAAAATTTGAATATGCAAACACGGAAGAGACAGCATACCAATGAGGGTAGAAATGGATTGCTAAATACCGACTTTGATGTATTTCAGTTTAATATAACTGTGCGTCAATCAAGTGGGTAAGCACTTCTATACAAACTGCTTCAAAATTACATGTATTCATTTTGATATTATGTACAAGTATCCGTCAAAAAAAATCAATTGGTGAAAAAGAAACTTTTAACTATGATGGAAATAATAAACAAACCTCATGTTCGAGCTACTTGTGATTTGGAATATGAGAGGAATTTACAATGCCTGCTTTTGTATTTTGATGAAAAAAGGAAAATCTGAAGAAAAAAATTTGAAACTTCTAAGAAATAGTACAACTTTGCCGAAATTAGTCCATCCAATGCACAAAATACTGATTTTTTTTTTACTGAATTCGATTGGACACCAACTTCAAGGGTGGCTGCAATCAATTTGTTTGACTAAAACACCTCAACATGCATCCTCTGTGTCCCAGTTTACGTGATTTTCAACTTTTGTTTCAGAGTTTCAAAGGGCAATTTACTGCCTTTTGGGTTTTTATGCTAATGACATTTTCATATTCATGAGCAAAACTGTGATGTCATCCCAAGAAGAAAGCCCTATGTTAAATTAATTTGTTCACAAAAGTGATGTATTTTTGTAGATTTTGCTCGACAAAACTTTCTTCTCTGCTGATTCAACTTTTATTTATGTCTATAGCAATAAGCAAACATCAGTCCCTTTTTCAGAAATGTTAAAAACCTATGCGCTGAAATATCTTCCCTCGACATTACAGCAACAGCGCCCTCATCAATTGTCCAGGAAGGCATGGATAATTTTAAGTGTTTCAAAAGTGCACTCTTGAATGCATGTACTCAAATAGGAATGTAAGAGTTTTTACACATAGAATAAGTGTTCAAAGTTCCAGACAAATTTGTTTCAAAGAAAAATGCATTGCAGCTAGACTTTAAATTAAGGTTATTTCTTTTCCTAGACAAAAAACACCCTTGATACCACAGCTGTCCGCAAAATTTGCTTTTTCTGACTAAAAGCATCTACATTGCAAACCTGAAACCATGTTTAGTGTGTCAAGGCAATGATGGATACTTTAATTTTGCAAATCTAATCTTTGAGCTCTGGAACACCGTTTGCACTGGCCAAGCTTGTGAAGTGAAGCCCCTCCAAGGACCACAGTAGACAGAAACCACTTCACCCTGCTTGGCTCGCTGACGTTCTTTAACCTGCACAGATGAGAAAAATGGAAAGAGTTTTTTCAGGGCATTATATTACAGTAAATTATTTGAAGAGATTTGTGGCAATACGGAAAACAAAAAATGTGCAGGGTTGTTAAAAGTCACAATTTTGTTGGATTTAATCATTCGAAAAGAGCAAGATTCGCAGCAATAAGGAACACAAATCACAAGTGATTGTCAAATCAGCAAGTCAGACTTTTTCGTTTAACTAATTTTTGTCAGAATTTAAAAATTTGTTTTGTATTTTCTTCTATGTTATCTTGGTAGGAGCGTCCATTATCCTTGAGTAATGTGTTAAAATATTTATCATCATGGACCACTGTACATGAATAAAGGAATATGGAAAATATATGTACATTTGTCATCTGTCATTGTGAGATTATTATGTGTGCATGTAAGTTCAACAGAGGGCGCTAGACATAGCACGCAATCCGGATCCCAAGAAGCTAATGCACATTTGCGAGTCAAATTTGTCAATCTAATCAGTCATTTTGAGCTTATTAAGACCTTGGATCCGAAACCAGCAGTAAGCCATTTTGCTATTACTCGTTTGTAGCAGACATTTATATTAGTTTGTAGATGTGGGGGGATAATTTAAGGGATAAATGGGGAAGGTTTCGTTGTGGGATGGGATACGTATCATAACCGGTTTATGTACACGTACCTTGTAATGCGTATTTTCAGTGGAACTTGAGCATAAATTATCCTGTCATTGGGCCTTCTCGGTCCCTTCACTGTTACTTCATCCACTTTATTCTAGCTCATACCCAGGTGTGGAATGTTTATTTCAATGTGTTGTAGTTAAGGCTTTAGTTTCTTAGAAGAGTGTTTTGTAGCAATATCGTTGGCCAAGTTTGTTGAGGTTGTAGGTAATAGTGCCTTCTTGTGGTGAGATTGTGTTTTCTTTCCGGATTCCGCATGTACGTGTCATGCACAAGCAAAATTTCATCTCGGTTGGCCTTAATAATTCAAAGTCATGAATTATTATCGATTAAAAAAAAAAGAACCAAGGCTTTACCTGCAACGGAAGTGCAATAGTCAGGCTCCTTCTGATTTTAGAGTGGATGATGAATAAAGTGGATCTGGAATCCAAAATGGCCATATTGTGAATAAAGGTCACTGAATAAATTATCTAAAATCTGGTTAAGTTGTGCCAACTTGTCAAAACCGTGCCAACTTGTCAAAATCCTCCCCCACGTGGAGTGGGTCGGGTCTCCTAGTGGGGGAGGAGTCTCCTGCATTCACATACCCCTGCCCGGCCTACATGTACATATGCAGAGTGGCACCGTACCCTGGCGGTGGGTCAGTGACGGGAGTGTAGTTACTAATAGAAACATAAGGTGGGTGTCACCAGAGCAAGCGCTCACCAGGAAAAACCCTTAGGTTAAAGTATCCACCATCCGGCCCGGCCTGGCCAGAGCGGTACTCAACATTGTGTGGACTGTCGCTCTGCCATGGGCTCTGCGGAACATCTTTGAGGTAGCACTTGGTGAAGGTGGAGGTAGATTGCCAGCAAGCGGCCTGGCAGGTTTCAGCTAGAGGAATTCCTCTGAAGTACGACCAGGATGCAGAGGTGGCCTGAACATCGTGGACCCTGACGTGAGATCGGGTCATCTCATCATGGTGTGCCGGCCAGTCTCAGCGAAGAAAATGGCTGAGACCGTCCATCAGACAACAGTGTCCTTTGATGCCGGGTGATGAAGAGCTGGGAATTAGATTCTCGGCGATGCTTGGTCCTGGCTAGATAACACTTGAGAGTTTGGCTATGTTGGGAGGCATCTGGTTTGTCATCGGAAACCCAAAGATTGGGATAAGGCGAACCCGATGTGGCTCCCTGTGGATGTGACCATCAGCAATCAATAGAGCATGCAGTTCGCTACCTCGTCTCAATGTACAGACAGCAAGGAGGAACTCCGGTTTGATGCCGAGATGGATGTCAGACAGCAGTTCGAAGGGAAGACCAACAAGAACGCGTAAGACGCTTACGAGGTCCTAGGATAAAATGAGGTGTTTGACTTGGGGACGTTCGAAAAACATTCCTCGAAGGAGATGGTGGATGGCAGCATTGTCAGAGACAGTTGATCCATCACTGAAGACGAAGTGAACAGCCACCAAGGCCAATCGGTAGCTGTGGATGGTGGCAACCTAAAGGCCTGAGAGAAACAGATACATGAGGAAGTCTGCGATGGAACTCACAGGAGCTTCGATTGGAGAAACATCGTGACCCTACGGTGCTGGGTGGAGGATCCCTGACTTGGGTTGACGAAGGATGCCCCCCCTGACTGGAAAGGTAACAGTCTTGGTAACAGTCTTGGAAACCACAGTTGGCGAGGCCAGAACAGAGCGATGAGGAGGGTCTGACATGGGTCCCGTTCTATCTTAGACAGGACCTGTTGGATGAGGGAGATTTGAGGAGAAGTGAATGCCAGAGGGTCCGACCAGTTGACCTGTAGGGCATCCATTGAGGGAACCTGGAGCAGAATGTCGGAAGATGGGCATTGCCAGCAGATGCGAAGAGGTTGATATGAAGATGCTCGATATCTGCAAAAATCTGGCTGACCACACTCGGATGGAGAGTCAACTGTGTTGGGAAAACAGTGGCCTGAGAGAGTGTGTCTGCTATGCTGTTGCTTGTTCCTGCTATGTGGACAGCCTTGAGGGTGATCCCTTGATTGCTCGTCCACATAAAAACTGCCATGGAAGGATGCAGAGTTGAGGAGAGCGAGTGCCACCTCGGTGGTTGATGTATGCCACTGCTGTGAAGTTGTCGCTCTATATTTCTATAGAGCAGCCTACTAACTGCTGTTGGAAGTAGCAAAGAGCATGGAACACCACTTGGAATTCCAACATGTTGATGTGTTTGCCTTGGAAGGCAGTGTCCCGGACTCTGAAGGCGTGGAGTGGAGGAAGGGAGGCTCCCCATTCGAATAGCAATGTGTCCGTCGTCACAGTCACGTCCGGACTTGAAGGAATGAAAGGAAGGCCAACCGACACATGCTTGATCATGGTCCACCACCAAAGGTGATTGCGAATATCCAACAGAAGGGGGACCGGGGTAGTAGTCGGGTCATTCTTGGGACGGTACCGTGATAGGAGATGCAGTTGAAGTGGCAGCATCCGCAGTCAACACCATGGGACGAGATCGACCAGGCTGGCCATTAAGACGAGGAGACAAAGCCAGGCTAATGCTGGAGGAGCCTCGGACCATTGAAACTGGAGGACGGATTGACGCAGGTTGAGGATGCGCTCTGGCGTTGGAGCTGCACTGCTTTTGTGGAGATCAAGGATCACTCCGAGGTAGGTCGGCCTCTGTGATGGATCGAGGGTCGACTTGTAGTAGTTGATGAGGAACCCCAGGCGCATTGTGATGTTGAGGGTGAGAGAAGTGCAGGCCTTTGCCTCGTCGGGGGAACGGCCAATGATTATTAAACCAGTTGTCCAGGTACTGAAAGATGAGAAAGTCGCATTGTCGTAGATGGGCGGCGAGTGTTTTGGTAAACTGGGTGAAGACCCTTGGTAAAGTGGAGTGGCAGAATGGAAGAGCTAAAAACTGGTAAGTTTGGCCGCAATATTTGAAGCGAAGGAACTTGCAGTCCTGTTTAAGTATTGGGATATTAAGATATGCATTCCGCAGATCTATGGAGGCGGCCCAACACGGGACCGGTAGGGAGTGCAAGACTATGTTCAGGGTCTCCATCCGAAACCATTTTAGCTTGATGAATTTGTCGAGTGGTTTCTAATTGAATATCGGTCACCACTTTCCCGGTTCTTTCTTGGGTATCAGGAATAATGACGAGAGTAAGCCAGTGGATAACTGGCTTGGGTGCACCAGTGTGATGGCTCACTTGCGTAACAATGCTGAAATCTCCAGAGCCAGGTGCTTGCAATGGTTGCATGGAGGGAGAGTAGAATGGAAAACCATCTTGGATGGTGGGGAGCTCTTGAATTCGCAAGTGCAGCCATGGGCAATGGAGGGGAGAACCCAGCTGTCTGCGGTGATTTCCAGCAGGAACCCGATGAAATTACCCAGATAGCTGCCAATGGGTTGGGACTGACAGCTGCTGAAGGTGAAGAGGAGTAGTCACCGACACTGCCCCCCCGAACAAACCTGCAAACAGTGAGACGTGGCTGGAGTCTTCTAGGAGCAGTTGGGGGTGGAGTTCGAGGGGGGTCTGATGGCTGAGTAGCTGACTGGAGCGGGTGACTAAAGGAGTGGCCTGAAGATGGGGGCGTACCTGCTTGTCGTCTCAGTGGCAGCGGTGGCTGCTGGTGTGGGGGAGCCACAGGTTCACGAAGTGAAATTTCTTGGTGGTCTCCATGCGCTTCACCTCCAACTCAAGGACCTCAGTTAATTTCCTGGCAAACAAGTCATCTCCGGGAAGCGGCAGATCCAGCAGTTTGTTCTTGACTGACTTGTAGGAATGTGCATGGCATCCACCATGTTGGCTCTGCAGCTGGAACTGGCAAGAAGCGAAATGTGGGTGAACTGTTCAAAGACAGAGTTAAGTCTGTCGTCGAGCCCTTGTAGGGCAAGGGCCGCAAAGTCTGGTGAGACCGGAGATTCCTCCTCGTAGGCCCGGGCAATATATTCTAAGAGGAGGAGGAAGGCTGAACATTGCAGGCTGTAGCGAGAAGCCATATCTAGGTGACCAAGAACTGAGTCAAAGTTGGCATTGTCCTTATCCCTGAAGGTGTTTTGTTTGCCAGAATCGAACAAAATCTAGTCTCTGGCAGCGTCAGGAATATCCCGGGTTGATAAAAAGTGAGAGACGTCCTCCTGGAGAAAGCGGTAGTAAGACATAGCCCTCAGAGGAGTTGTGCACTAGCCCTTAGCCTTCACAAGAACATTCATCATCTCCATGCAGGAGCGATGTAGGGGGATCTCTGGGAAGATGGGCTCAGCCGACTTGAGGAGTGAAGGGTGACGCTTGAATGAAGTGTGTCCTTGCTCTGCAGGTGTAGGGTTGGGCGACAGGAAGCCCAAGGAC